TTATACGTCAACTAATTTCCTTAACTACTTGCTGAGTACGAGATATGACTCATTAGGAGCAATTAGTCACGCTTTACGCGTGAATTGAGACGCTATGAATTTGTTATATGATCATATATATAATAATGATATGATAAAATATAACGAAATAATTGAAATAGCCGTATGGCGCGATGTGTCGCATTGTCCATCGCGATACACACCTGCCCTTCATTTCGTCAGTTGGCCAGTCATTATAGCCCCACGGCATCTGCGTTGTGCCGAGGATGAGGCCGAAGATGAAGCCAAAGAGTATCGACAGGAAGATGCCGAGCATCAAGCTTTTCAGGCCGACTAACTGCAGATCCCTATCGGCTATGATGGTTCCAAAAGTTAGCGACATCACGGGTCCCTTCGGTCAACGAAGCGATCAGACACATATCGAACGTACAGCGAGAGAGAGGACAAGGACAATTAGCGTAAAATATCGCGTCAAGGATTTTACCATGAGAGGTGACACCAGCATAGCCGCGACGACGTTAGTCGCACTGTTCTCGACGAGTCCGAGCGCAGCGAGGCAGCTGTAAAATCGTTCCTTTTGCAAACAGGTGTTTGTTACTTATTATATAAGACTATTAAGATTACTCGCCGCGCGCGGCGAGATATTGATATTCTCAATTGTCGTAGAACTTGCTCGTGAGCGACACAAAGCCTTCTTACTCCGCGGTTAACACCAGCAGCACGTAGTCGAAGCTGAGATCGCCACCGCTGCGAACTCCATCGACCACCTGCTTCACCGTCAACTTCGACCTGATCGATCCCACGAAATCGTCCCATGCATTGCTATGATCCTCCGCCTCCTTTCGTCTGTGAAACACAAAACGTGTGTCGGATATCAGATTTGAATTCGTATTTAAACGAGGTAATTCCATTTTTCGTATCGTATATCATTAACGCGTTAATTGCCACGGGGTTACCGGTGTTATAATTTCATAGCGTCTCAATTCACGCGTAAAGCGTGACTAATTGCTCCTAATGAGTCAGATCTCATACTCAGCAAGTAGTTAAGGAAATTAGTTGACGTATAATTGCATGAAAATATATATATATATATATATATATATATATATATATATATATATATATATATAT